ATGCCACTTTTGCACCAACGGATCGCAAGTGCACTGGTAGTTCCCCGTGGGAGGTAAAAGCCCCACGAATGCGCCACGAGCAGCAGCACTTAGCAGCAGCAGCAGCAGAAGCAGTGTGCAGTCAATGCTGCAAAATGTGAAGAAATGCCACTCTGCGCAGCCTACTCGCGCCCCCGTTCTGACCTTCCCTAGATGATCACCCGCCGGACAGACTGCTGACGACCAGCCGGACTGTATAAGTCACTCATCCGGCCCTGGCCTTTTATGACTCGCACTGGACAATGAAGCGGCCCAACTTCTTTTGGCAAACAAGAACAATTCAAGTCGAAAAAATTTATCAGCAAAGACCCATCAAAGATATCAAAAATCTGTCAAGAAAAACTGACTTTCAAGTGAAAGTACACTGGAACAGTGGAAGAAGATACCTTTTGAGCTCGGAGAAGAGCGAGGGGACGTGAAGGACATCAGCGTTTTCTGACGCGACAGCTGCTCCTCATCAGCTTCTGTCGCTCCCGGTACCCCATAAAAATTATTCTGCGCAGAAAAGGAACGAACAGGCCGAAGCAGTATCGGCGAAAGGACCAGCGGATGTGCCGAGCTGTCCACTGGCGACGACTAAAAAACACTGCGAAATTACCACTCCCAAAAACCATCATATACTGCACAGTTAGCATGCTTACTTCTGCACAAAATTATGCTAATTTTTATATTACATAAATGACAGCAACAGTCAGAACGAAGCTTAGCTTCTTCACAAATCAACAATGACCTCCTGGTCAATCGGACTGGCGATCCAAAATGTCAGTGAAATTCGGACGCATTCCCTCCATCCACAGTGCACATTTCCTAGTTAGTGCTCAAAGCCTGCTGGATATGTACCGCTTCTTCGGAGGCTGCCCGTGTGATCATCTGCCTTTTCACAAGTACCATCCGCTGATCTGTGGACTTATGCTAACATAAAGCCAATAATTTTTGCCTACGCGTTCTCTATCTCTTTTTATCACTGAAACTTCTAAAATCGCTTTTTTGGATTTTCGCCCGAGATATAATTCAATTGTTTTCGAGCTCAAAATCGGAGTGAAAGAAGTGCACGAAAAAAGGGTAGAAAGAATAAGGGAGAAAATACCTGAAGCTAAAACATTTGAAGACACCGGGAATGTAAAACCACTTAAGCACAAAAACATGCACACACACAAATGTACACGTACACACCCCACTATGAACTAACCAATATTTCACATACAAACACGCACATTTAAAACGCAGCCACGAGCTGCAATTTTTTCAAGTATTTCAATGTCAGCGTCAAGCAGATCAAAATGACTCGGCTTGAATTCTCTTCTTTTGTGCACTCAGAAAAGCCCAGGTGCAATAAAAAATAAATAGCGACGCGAAGCAGGGAAGCCGGTGCGATCATGCGTTTTGTGCAATTCCGTTCACCGAACCTGCTAATGATTTTCACTGCTTTGCACTTTGGTCCGTGCAAAAATAGTTGAAGTGTTGTCTGGTTCTTAAGTTGCGGAATTCCCCACTAAAAATTTCATGCACACGAGATAATAATTCCTCTATCAAAACTTTCACGGGATTGTATGTGATACCCAGGGGTGTGTAAAGGCTGAGTTCAAATTTGCGAGGTCGCACGTTTGCAGAGGAAATCACCCTAAAATTTGAGATTCTCAACTTCCGCGACTGCCGAGATAATTTTCCCCGCCGAAACTTTCACGGGGCCGTAAGTGATGCTCAGGCGCACGGGAAGCTGAATTTAAAATTGCAGGATTGTATGTAGACAGAACATATTACCATAAAATTTCAGCTTCTTGGCTTTTATGGTTCTCGAGATAAAAATTACCTCGCCAAAATTTCCACGGGGCAGTAGGTGATATCCGGGAGCGCAGGAACGCTGAATTTGGATTTGCGAGGTCGCACGTGAGTAGGGGTCATTACTCCAAAATTTTAGCTTCTTGGATCCAGTTGTTCCCGAGATAATTTATCCGCTAAAACTTTCACGAGGCCGTATATGTTACTAGCGGGCATGGAAAGGTTAAATTTAACGCGTGAGCAAGAAACATAACCATAAAATTTCATCTTCCTAGCTTCCGTGGTTCCCGAGATAATAATTTACCCGCAAAAATTTTCACGGGCCGTTCGTGTCACTCGTGGGCAGCAGAAAGCTGAATTTGAATAGGCAAAGTCAAGCATGAGCAGGAGGTCATTACCCTAAAACTTCAGCTTCATACATTCAGTGGTTCCCGTGATAACTTTATCCGCCAAAACTTTTACGTGTTATCCGCGGGGAGGCTGAATTCAAATTTGCGGGGTCACACGTGGGTGGGGAACGTCCCCCTAAATTTTCAGTTTTCTAGCTTTTGTGATTCCCGAGTTGAAAGTTGCGGACAAGTTGCTGCGGGCACACACAGACACACATACAGACAATCCCGTGACAATATGCGTTTTGTATTGCTCTTACACAGCACAAAACGCATGACAAAGCTGCGTACTAAGTAAATGAGATATATTTAACTAGTAGTGAAAGAGACGGTTTCAGGTTGCGTAAGCAACCGAACTTATAATTCAGTCTGCTTCGAGACTTTCACATTTGTGCACCATTATTTGCCTCGTTCGTAAAGTAGCCCCGCTCACTACTGCACCAACGGAGAGGCAGTGATTTT